AAATTTAAGACAAAGAGTACCATGGCCTGTAGACCCTGAGGAAACACATCCCTCTAGTGGCCAAACCCTGCCAGGTGATGAGAGAACTTCACATTCCCTAAGGAGTTGCCAGAAGTGGCAATACGATAATTTAGAGTCACAAACTGTAAGAGGCACTCTTGAGAAATTTAAGACAAAGAGTACCATGGCCTGTAGACCCTGAGGAAACACATCCCTCTAGTGGCCAAACCCTGCCAGGTGATGAGAGAACTCTTCATATTCCCTAAGGAGTTGCCAGAAGTGGTGTGGCAGAACAGCTGTACAGTTCTGAAAATGGATGGCAGGTATGTGTGAAGGTACTTTTCCTACTTAAGTTGATCTCCCATAAATTACTTGACACAAAGCACTGAGAAAGAAAAAACCCTTAGCTTCTTGTATCTTTCACTTAAAACTATAAACACTAGAAATCACAAAATGAAAACTAGTATTACCAGCTTGTTTCATGTACATATGTTCTGAAGGAAAGGAGTGATTGTTGGCAATTGACATTATATCAATTCCACTGATTAACACCTTTAATAGCTGTATGAACTTGACTGCCACACAGTTTCTTTCAAGGTACTGGAATCAACACAAACACTGTTTATTCATTTCCATCAGCAAACAGCAGGATGTCTGTTCCACAGCGCAGTCACAATTTGTCAGTATGCACTGAAGACCTTGCACACTGCCCTAAGATTGTTTAATTGTCAGGTGTGGCTTTCATAGAATTATCAACAAGATTTTTGTCAGGTGTTTCATAATGGTACCAAGGCCCATCTCCCCGCTGTCTCATCAGTCTGCGTGCCTCCAACTCCAGCAGCCTAAAAAAAAAAGGCAACAGACACAATCAACATGAAGTTTGTTGATACTGAGCATTACTGACAAAGCAATGATTTTAGCATCAATGGTTTATAAATACTGCTGAAGCATAGGTAGGACCAAAATATGAAGAGTTCAGCTAAGACATGAGCTATTACATCTTTGTATTTTGGGGTTTTTTTCAGCAAGTCATTCCACAAAGGAGTAATAAAAATACCGGCAGTTTTATCACAGGTTCTTCTCTAAGCTGTGAGCATTAGCAGGAGCAAAAAGAGCTCCATTTGCTGATTCAGGAAGACAGAGCTACACCTTTATAAATATTGAGTGCTTTGAAGACCCCCTGCCCTTGGATTGTTCTGGTAACCTGAAGCCTGAGAGGGCAGCAATAACAGATCCTGTGACTCCTGTTCTGGCAGCAGCCAGTGCAGGCAGCACTCAGGGGACACATGAAAGCTCTTTATGTCAGCATCCAGCTCAGTATGTCATGCACAATCAGAGCCAGCTACAGTATGGATCAGGATTTTAACCTCCCAGCTACAGAGCATACCTCAGTTCAGATTTCCTCACTTCCACATCAAGCAGGGCCATGTCCTTCTCATAGTTCTTCTCAGGGGGGTCAAGTACATAACGAGCTATCCAGCGGGTTATGGGGTGCTGGAAAACACAACAGCAGAGATTGTCTGTGCAACTTCCAAGTAGAAATGTCACTGTGTATATCCACAGTCCTGAAGAGATGTCACGGACACCATGAGTGCTGCCATTCAAATCGTAACCATGAAGTTACAAACATGCACAACTACTTGTGAGATCAGAACCCTAAAAATTCTTTTGCAAGCCCTCATGCCAAGATAACCTGCAGATGACTGTTCTGTAGCAAAATTAAAATGTAACTAAGATATAATTTATTTTCTTTCTGTTACAGTTCCTTAAACTGCCAGGGTAATCACAGAAGTGGACTCCAAATCTTAACTGTAATCAGCAACATTTCATAATTTTGCTTCCACATAAAGGGCATTTCCTTAGGAACAAAAGTCTGAATGAGTTGAAACAGTCACAATAATATTGCTGAATTCAATTACTTCCTATCAGAAACAAAACAGTGCTTGCAGCAAGAAGCCAGGGAGTAATTTTAAGAAAATACAATTAAATTGAAACCATACAACCTTGAGTTTGTGACTATAAAAATCCTCAATTCTAGATCCAAAAATGTGTGTGATATGGGACTTTAAAACAATACTGGCAAATAACACAAGAAAGAAATGTCACTTTAAAATCCAGTTTCTTAAGACATTGTAGAAAAAAAATAAAGACAAAACTTGCACGGTATGAATGCAGAGGACTTTTCTTACTATTTAGGAATTATAGAAAAATTCTTGGCATATAGTGTCAGCAGTTTACTGCATACAGAGCATTTGCATCTGCTTGTGTCATTAAAGAGATTTTTCTACAGCCTTTTACATGTTCCGTAAAGCCACAAAAAAGTTTACCAAAATCAGAACTGCACTATTTGAGTTTTACTACACTGCCAAACATCATCATACTCCATTCATTTTATTCCCAGAAGTATCATCACGAGAAAGGCTGTCCATAGCATGCCCACCCTTTTACATGTTACACTCACTTTGTAGTATTCCCAGTGCTCTGGAACATAACCTTCAGGAATCTCTGCAAGTTCAGCTTCACCTGACAAGGAAAGGAGGGGAAGAATATTTAACTCTGTGATTATTTTCCAAAGCTATCTTATATTCTGCTTTTCAGATAAGGAAAAGATAATTATTCCACATGAAGAGTACTAAATCCCTGAGCTCTACTCAGAAAAATTGAACTTGCAATTTTTGCAGACACATCCCACTGCAATTATCTATTCACAGATTTTAAGTGACACACTAAAAGGCTAAAATTAGCAGCTACACAGAAGAAACAACTTGGACCAAGTCCACAGAAATACCCTTTAAAGTACAGGAGCTGAAAGCATGGGCTTTTCCTGATTTCTCGATTAAATTAATTCCATATCATTACAGCAGTAGGTTTAACACATGCATTGCCAAGCAGAATTTTGGCATCTTTGCTAGCAAAAAGCCAGAGTTGCAGTCTTAAAGCAAGTTACTAAACTTCACTGCCAGAAGAGAGAATGTATTTTACTTTTTTTTGTGTGAGAAAGTTTTTTTTAAAAAATCAACAACTAAAGCAAGTATACTGGGAACATTTTCTGTGTACTGATATAATATCACTGTATTTGTCAGGCCTATTCCATGGTCTTCCAAAGAGAGAGCCCTAAAAGAGTCCTTTTTCTCTATCCAGCATGCTTAATTCCCATTCAGCAACTTTGACTGCACTTTGCTTAGCCCGGAGAGAGCACTCACCAATGAAGACATTGATATATGTTAAGAGCACAGCCACTGGTATTCCCGTCAGGAATAAATAGAATCTCTGTAGAGGGGATAAAAACAGTCAGTGTGGGAAACTCAGAACCCTGACAAAATTCACACAAGATCTGAAAATATCTGAAAATGGTGGAACAGCCAGTAACTCTGAGATTAGCATTTCTGTGTTGGAAAGGGATGTTGTGTGTGAACACTGCTGATTGCAATGAGCTCATTAATGAAGCAGAAGTGATGCTGTGGCAGCCCCTGAGCCCGTTCAGGTCAGCCTGTGCAGCAGCAAGCAGCAACACCTCCCTGGAATCCCTCAGCACCTCGGCACAGCTGGCTCCAGCACTCAGCTGCCGTCAGCACTGGCAGCAAGGCAAGAATCCAAAATCAGTGCAGCCACTGTGGGCTCTGCAGCTGAGGAAGGCACAGAAATGAGTCCTGATCACAGGAAGGGAGTTGTATCCAATCAGCTCTTGCTGCTTATAAAAGGATTTATCCAAAAACCTGACTTTGGAGGGGTCAAACTCAGGTCAGGCTTCCTAAATCTCACCTCTGTTGTTAGTGGTGTAGATAACTGAAGGCAAACCCTGCAGAAGAGTAACTGATACATTTCAAAAAGGAGGATGGAGCAGAAAGCATTTGTGGGTCATGCATCTATGAACACAGACATGTAATTTAAGAATGCTACTACAGCAGAAATTTAAGTATCTATCACAACCTTTGCTATACAGCCAGTCTTTGAACTTCATCTGGCCCTGATTTTACACCATGTGACCAAAAATTCTTAAAGAGGACCTGAATTTCTTGTTTATGTAAATAGTGCCAACACATTTTAGATGCTATTGCATAAAAAACACAGGAAATTGTATTTTAGACACTCTTACACCATTTGCAAGTGATGTGCTACACTGAATGCAATACATTGGACTTTTAACTCACCAACAAGCTCAGAAATCGAGAATCATAAAAACTTGTTGATTTGATGATAAACATTCTCTTCCCATGGTCACCACTGTGCCGTACAGGAACTGAAAATCGAACCAGAGTATTATGGTTTTGTACTCCACTGGTGCTTATGCCAGGGCAAGGTCAAACGTACATGGGGAAAGGAAAAAAAAAAAACAGAGTGTGCCACAGCAGCTGAGTTTTCTGCAGTTAGCCTGAAGCAATTTCGTATTTTGTTAGCTTAAACCTATTTTTCCTCTAACGCTAGGCAGAGGTCTGTGCCCACCTGTAAGCACCAACACGTGAATCAGTGAATGTCCCCACACAGGGCGGCCTCAATGGACAATTACAGCGCCAGCAGGGTCGGCCTCCCTCCCGTTCCCATCCGTTTTCACCCACACCCGGTAGTTTTTCATAGGAACGGGGACACAGCGGGACCTGCTCAGCCCCCGGCCCTCAGAGGGCACCTCTGCCCCGCTCCGCAAGGTCACCCGGCCCCGCCGCCCCGCCATCCCCGCCGGGGCCGTACCGAGGGTGCCGGGGAGGCGGGGGCCGATCCCGGTGATCCCGGTGCTGCCGGCGATCCCGGTGCTGCCGGTGCTGCCGGCGCTGCCCGCCCGCCGCGCCGCCCAGGCCGCGGCCGCCCGCAGCAGCCGGCTCATGGCCGCCATGGCTGGCACTGGCACGGGGCGGGGCCGGCGGCCGCCATCACGGGAAAGGGCACAGCCTTCCCACTGCCCCCGGCGCACAGGGACGGCGTGGTGGTGAAGCCGCGCGGGCGCCATGTTGGAAAAGGGCAGAGCCTTCCCCGTGCTGCATGTACGGCGGGAGAGCGCGGGTGAGGCCGGGCGGGCGCCATCTTGGAAAAGGGCAGCCCCCGCCCCGTGCCCCGGCGCCGTGGGAGGACGCGGGGCGATGGCGGCGGCCGTGGCCGCGCTGGGCCGGGGCCTGACGGCCGCGCTCCGCCTGCCCCGGGCTCGGCCGGGACTCCCCGGGTACGCACTGCGCCGGGCGGGCTCGGGCACGGAGGGAGGGCCTGTGGCGGGAGGCGGCTGTCCGTGCGTGCCGCTGTCCCTGAGGGCTGCAGCGTGGTGCAAGGGCAGCTCCAGGCGGTTCCCTGGGCCCGCAGAATCCTGCAGCCTCTGTGCTGCTGGGGTTTGTGCTTCCCCGGCTGTCCAGACTTTGCCATTAAGGCCATGGGGGAGGTTGTGGATTCTCCCCCTCTGGAGACGCCCCAAACCCACCTGGACGCGTTCCTGTGTCACCTTCTCCAGGTGGCCCTGCTTGGGCAGGGCTCTTGGACTGGATGGTCCCCACAGGTCCTTTCCGATGCTAAAAGTTCGGTGCTTCTATGATGTACAGCTCAAGTTTGTTCCTTAATTTTTAATTGTTACCTATCTCTTAAGTGTAGAAAATTGATAATTAATGAGATGAGGGGGAGGAGAAAACACCAATATGAGATCTTTGTGACTAACCAAAACTGTTTTTCCCCACATGCCATGATCTGCGTGTAGGAGCTGTGCCTTTGTGAATGAAACAAACATTCTCATTTAGCAGGATATTATTTTTCCTGTCATACATAGTTTTCCTTCTAACTTTTATGCAGGATGGCACTGAATCTGTACCAGAACCTACCGAAAATTGAGATCCTCCATCAGGTGAAGCTCCTGCACACAACTGTGTCTCGGAAAGGTCTGGAGGAGTTTTTTGATGATCCAGGAAACTGGGGGGAAAAAAGTGTAAAGTCTGGTGAGTTACATTTAGCATGTCTGATAGTGATCTTTGAGCTGAAATCTGACCTGGGTTTTTTTTGCATTATAGGAAGCATTCAGAGCTACATAAAACTTATTTTTCTATGTATATGTACATACATCCACTTGTGCATCTTGATGCTTGTTAATTTTTGCTGTGTGTATTCAGTGGTTATGAAAGCAAATAGTAACTGTGCAGCAAAATGTTTTGCTGTAAATCCTCTGCCTTGCTCTGAAGTGAGAGTGTATCACAGAAGAGATGTGCTTTGATGAAATGTAAGAACTATGGAAGAAAACTAGTTCACTGTAAAGATTCATCTGACAGCTTTCTGTACTCCCAGCCTTTTACAAGCACAAATAAACACTACATATAATTGCCTTTTTTGTTGTATTTTAAAAGCAAAGCTGAATATCCTCAAGGATGGCTGCCCAAGCAGTATTTTACATGTGGTCTTTACACTGTTGTCAGCTGAGCCTAAGAGAAGCACTTTTTATTTTCCAGAATAAGAGAACTTTGTTTCATTAAATTAATGGTGGTTTTTTTATCTTTTACAGGGGATTCATGGAATATAAAGCAGCTAAGGGGCAAGAGTAGTGAAGACTTGCACAAACTTTGGTAAGTAAGTTTTAGTGAAGAAGATTCTCTTCCTTCAGAGCAGCTCTGCACTTTTCAGAGCTCGTGATCCAGCAGCTTTAGTGTGGCACAGAGCTCTGCAGGCTCCAGCCAGCCTTGGGCTTGGACCAGCCCTGGTGCTGGCCCTGCTCAGAGCACAGAGGCTGCACTGCAGGTGGCTGTGGGACAGCTGTGTCTAGTTCAGAGGGCTCAGCTTTGGTACAAACCCTCTGGGGGTTGCTTGAGTGAGACCTGCTTTGTTGTCAGTGCCTTCTGGTGGGGTGGGCACTTCATTCCATCAGGCCTGCATTTATTCTGATTTTGGAAGTTTCTGAAGCTGCATTAAGTTCAGGCTGAACTTAATCATTACTGTGAACAGCTTTTCCCTTGCTTTGTCCTGTGTACAGGTGAGAAAAACCTGGCTTTGTCCAGATAATGGAAGACAACTCAGTGTTAAACTTTTCCCTCCTAAGCCCTCTTTGTTCCAGACTAAATAAACCCGTATCCCTCATTCTTCTCTTTTGTTTCATTATATGAAGCCAGCAGGGTTTGGGATTACAGACAGTAGGTGAATAACTGCTTAGCTATCCCAAAGTCATTTTTGAATTACTGTGCTTTCTGCTCCAGGTATGTCCTGCTGAAAGAAAAGAACATGCTCTTGACTTTAGAGCAAGAATCCAAGCGACAGCGCAAGCCTATGCCAAGTCCAGAACGCTTAGAAAAGGTACCTTTTTCATGCTACAGAAAAACTGTAACTCTCTAGTAAAATTGCTGAAAGATCAAGTGTTTGGAAGCTTGTTAAAGACCTTTTTTTTTTTTAAATTATTTTCCCTGATTTTAGTGTATGCACTAACTGCTGAAGTCATAATTTGGTCATGGCTGTTTTCTCATTGTCCAGTGTGCATTACTGGGGCTGTGACCAGACTCCAGTGGAAACTAAAATAACCAACAGCCACTACAAAACATAAGCAAATCTTCTGTTTGCTTCTGCTTCTTTCTGACCCCTGCCTCAGAGCTTCCTCTAATTCTGCATCAGCATTGGATCTCGCTTTATGCATCACCCAGCTGGTCTTTAATCAAGTGTGAGACTGTCGGTTAATTCCTATCTGTCCTGCTGTCAGATTAGATTTTTGAAGCACCCATTCCTTACTAGTACACAGAGCCTGCTGAGAGAGAACTCATGATCAAACTCCAGCATGTTTTACCTTTGTTTTGCCTTTAAACTTTGTTTTAAGTCTTTGAGATCTTTTAAATTTTCAGCATTGTTTTTTGTTGGTGCATCCTGAAACTTTTTACCATTTCCAGGTAGAAACATCTATGAAAAATATAGACTTGGTTGTCAGAGAAAGAGAAATTGCCTTGAGGCTTTTACAAACGGGCCATGAAAAGCCAGTCCCTGGCGAGTGGAGACAAGACTTCCTGGGACGCACCTTCTGGTATGGAAAACCTTTTTTAGTTAAATGTGTGAGTTTTTCTTGTGGTGTCTCTCTCCCAGAAAATCCTTACCTAATCAAGGAAGGATGCATAGACTGTACAGAGCACAGGAAATAGTTACAAACCAAACCAGCAAGAGCTGGAAATCAATACCCACATAGAAATTCTGCCATTTCCCAGACCACTTTATCACTGTACTTGAAACTAAGAGAAACTGGTAAAATCCTAGAATTAAGACAACATGTACATTCTGTAATCATTTTTATCTGTCTCCAACAGGTACAGTTACAAGGAATGGCCAATACCATGGCACTTGAACAAAAAACACAAAAAGAAGAGATTCTTTTACTTGCCTCATGTGAATCACTTCATCAGGTAAAAAGATTATTTTGACATTCTGATCTGTTTGTGTCCTTATTCCATTTTAAAAGGAAAAAATAGCTGTAATCTTTCAGTTTTCACCTACTAGACTGAAAATTAGTGGTTTATTTTAAATTACAGCTTCCTCTGTTTCTTTTTTTCTGTTCCCACTTCAGTTACTAAGGTACATGGTTATGCTGTGGCATTGTAAAAGTACCTTCCAAGTGCAGAATATCAAAAATCATCCTAGAGGCTGAACTTCTGTGGTATTCAGAAGCAGAGTAAAAATATTACTCTGCAGGCTTTTTTACTTATCAGAAGCAAATGAATACTGAAGTTACTAATCACTGAGAGCCTCTGTCTGATTGGGGGGGCTCATTAAAGTGGTCACAAGCTGGCTGGAAGTGAACTACACCAACTTTTCTGTTTCAGACTCAGACTTGAAAAATCCTTACGGAAAAGGGCAAGGCAGCAGAGCCTGGAGAGGACGAAGCGGAAGCTCTTGGAAAGGAAGTTCCCTGATGTTGCTGTGAAATCCCAGAGCCAGTAGCAGGCTGGAAAAGCACTGTAAACAACTGGTCAAGTGTCTGTGGAACATGAATCATGTTCTGGAACCACAAACAACTCCACTGAGCATTCCAGATAGTCTCCAGCTTTTTTTGTTTTTAATACCACATTTGACTTTAATTAAAAACTTTCAATCTGGAATTAAAAAGCAGCTTTGGTGCCTAACTCAAATCATCCAATCTCTCACATTTCCAGGAACAAATGTTGTGTTAGCCAGCTCTCACAAGAGTGCGAGATGCATTAGGAACAGTGAAGAGCAGCCACAGAGTGCCATCTGACAGTAACAAGTGTAGGGGTAATATTTACCTGGTTTAGTTTAACACATGTACATTAAACTCAGACAGAAAGATGAAAGCATCTGAACCTCACATGAGCCTTTTCACTGGTCATATTTTCCCTGCTACTTCCCTGAATATTTTGCCTGAGGTACAGGCTACACAAGGTGTATTGCTCTCTGCATAAATGCACTGCAAATGGGCTCTCTGGACTGCTGTGAGGAATTTTTTCCACTGCTGCAAGTCTGGCTTCTTAGAAAGTACAAAATACTCATGGGAACTTCTAATACAGTTGTCCTCCTTGATTTCTGTGACAAATTCAAACACTTGTACAATGCTTTGCACAGTGCAATGTTTGAAAGAAGGCTGCAGTAGTCTTGAAGTAGGTACTGCTGTTGCTCTCAGTTGAAGGAAACACCTTCACCTTTCACTTCATGAAAGCTTTTAACTTCCACATGTTGTGGTCTAGAAATCTAGACTGAAGGCAAAAATACCAGTCTTTAAGGAAGCAAATGTGCTCAGCAGTATCTGGTAAAACACTGCAAGGGAACCAGTACTGTTTCATGTTTCTATCTCCATCATTTGGACCTTCACTTACTCCCGTGCATCACACAAAACTCCCAGTTTAAACTCAGAATCTTTACAGTGTGAGAAAACCTCCAGCAGTGTTTTGCTCTCCCTGTGCTGCTGGAATATTAGCAGATACTGTACTGCAATTCTTTTAAGATAAATGGAAGATAAAAGCCGATGTGGCATCATGGAATCTAAGCATGCCACAGAAGGAAAGCTTAAAACCTCCACTCACTGCAGTGCACTGGGGGAGCAGTTCAGTTATGTTCCATGTTCTACCTGAATGGAAACTGGACTGAGTCCTTTTCTTCCACAATCACAAGAGCTGGTGACTGCAGTTTGCCTCATTTTGCAAGAGAAACATGGTTTGTAAGTAGCTCTGAAAATCTGATCAAACAACTTTGTCTAAAGAGCAACACAAGATTCTCATGATAAGACAAAAGCAGATTGGTTTGATAAATTACTTTATTTTTTGGAGGTAATGTGAAACTTTTCAAATAGAGGCCTCGTAATTATTTACCCACAAGATCTTTTAGGATACAAAAATGTAGCAGTACTGTTTATTTTTTTTTAGATCAGTTAAATGCTATTTGGTTTTCCACAGCTTTTGAGATATGGAGCAAAACTTCATTGTGTCCCAAAACAGACCATCACATAATGTAAATTAAGCTAAAAAGCAACATTGAGCTGCATCTTGACAGCTGATTTCTGCTGAAAAACGAAGTCATCCCCATTCCTGTGACCCTGAGTGCACCTTCCCCTGCAAACACAGGCACTTACAGACCCTGCTGGGAGGCACAGGGGAGCCACACCAGCCTGGAGCACACAGCACTGAGGGCAAGCCACGCACTGAAAGCTTCTGACTCTGCTCCCAGGCTTGGAGAGGCCATTCTTTGTCTCAATTTCCCTGTCTTTAACAGGCTTTGCTTCTCACCAACATCACAAAGGCATTAAATACATTCTTAGACATCAGGTGGAAAGCATTGCTTGCTTACTGAAATGAAACTGCTCCATAATAAAAAAAATTAACAAACCAGTGCTTAATATAACATTCACCCCACGGAATGTAACACTTCTGTGAGACAGTAAAAGTTTACACTAAAAGAGATTGCTGAATACAAACTTTCACTTTTAAAACAGCAGAGTAACTTTCTCTGCAAGTACTCACAAGCTTGCTCAAATATAAAAGACCAAATTTTATTTTTTAAGAGAAAAATAAGAGCAATTTAAGGCCAAAGTACCAGCAAGGAAGACTAGTATGTGAAAGTAGACAAGAAATTAGACAAGAAATAATTAATAAATAAGCACAGGCATTTGCAAGGTTATGCCTCTATCTATTAGCTAACCTGTAAAGCTGTTCCCAGGAAAAGATACTAGAGAAAATAGACATTTATACAAAATTATAAAATGCTTGTTACAGGAATTATTGCTTTACAAGGGACGTAAACATTCTTTTTCTATTATAGTACCAATTAGGTCTCTCAAAATTTCTAACTTTGTTAAAATGGAATTTGAATTATGCAAAAAACCCAATATAAACTTCCTACAAAGAGGAGTCCATCCCATTCCTGAGTATGCTAAAGCTATAAAACAGAAGGAGCACCAAGCAGGCAGCAGTTTTCACAGTTAAGAGGTCTAAGGACATTTTCTTTCTACACACTGTTTCCCTCCTTCTTCATATTCTTGTTTGGAAATCCACATCTGCTGGAAAGTACCCTACAAAAATAAAGAAACAAAAGCAACACACAATGAAAAAATACCAGAACACAAATGATGGTCAACTGAAACAGGATTAGCTTTTCCTAGGAGGGAAAACAAGCAAGTCCTTACATTAAATGAAGTATTAGGACTTGACCTGCTTAACTGTCTCTTCCTTGAGTTTTATTGCTAAGGGATTAAATTCAAGACAGGAAGTGCAGCACCAAATGCTGATTGCAGTCTCCCTTTCCCATGATGATAAATTAACTCCCAGAAAGCATTTCACTGCTCAGTAACTGGTAGAATTAGGTATATGATGCAGAAACAGGTTTGCTACTTTCATGGTCTACTAGATACAGTCTTGAGAAAGTACACGTATTTCAAGGTTTTACCTTGCCATTAAAAACGGGAGAACATGGCAGGATATGTAGTCACTGGAAACTCACGCCTCTTTTTAAAACATATTCTCTTCCCCTTACCATGAGGACAGCCAAGACTATGATTACGTGGCACACACTCTGCAATGCACACTTCTGGGGAATCAATGGCTGGGTGGCAGTGCTGTTCAGCACAGCACAGGTTTACTAACCAAAGAAGCCAAAATGGAGCCCCCAATCCAGGAGCTGAACCTCCGCTCCACAGTGGTGTTGTTGGCTATCAACTTCAGGCGCATGCTCTGCACAGAAAAGGAGAAACAAGCTCTAAGCTGGTGACCTTAGGGACAAGCAGCACAAGGAACCTGGTGTCTGTACCAACAGGCAGCTGAAAAAGGTCCATTTTAGTATATCTGCAATACTGCTCATCTGCCCTGCATTTACAATTCAAAACAACCACAGTGGAACAGGAAATTTGGTTTTTACCTTGTTAAGGCAAGGAATGAGGCAGGTGGAGAGCAATAATACCACAGTGTGTAGTGTCACCTCCAACACTGCACTGGGACTACAATGACTTACATTGCTACACTTAAGTCATCTAGTCTTATTTGGATCCATTCATTCCTTTTGCTTTCAAAATGCCTTACAGCAATAAAATCTTTGAATTTCAATGGGCTCCTCCTCAGCTATTATAAGCAGTGAATACATTTCTCAGTTTCTCCTAACATTCATCATTACAGAGTTGTCCCAAGCAGAACATTTTTGCTTGAATACTAAAACTCAAGAAATATCATAATCTGTATCTACTCTCAGATGCAAGGTATCAATACTTTCTTTGACATCAAGTGATTAAAAAAATATGTAAATATGCTACTCATAGCATATTTAAAACCTGGTGATTTAGGTTGTCTGCAAAATCAAGGGAAAACAATTGCCACAACAGTGACCTCAGGCAGAACGACTGAATGTGCCTCAAGTTAGTCAGCAACACTTCAAAAGAGAGACCATCAGGAGAAATACTGGCTGTTGCTTGGGGACAATTACAGAACTTGGGATCGCAATCTGAAAGCAAGAGTGGAGCAGTAAGACACTCAAGGAATGTTGGAGTTTACTCTGTATAAAACTCTTCAAGAATTCTTTCTTTTCTTTAGAGAGGGAGGTTTCTTAACCCTGCAGAAATCTCTTCAGCTGTCAGGTTCCTATGAATATCAAAGCCACAATATCCTTGTGTACTTATGTGGCAGAAAAGCAAAATGTTGAAGAACTCAGTGCAGTAATGGAAAGAGTTGTTTTACCGGTGGGGTTTTCTGAGACAGCTCCCTGTTCAATCTGTCTGTGAAACTCTGTATTAGAGTGTTTCCTCCTGCTACAATCACACTGCCATAGAGACCCTAAAAAGAGAAGAAAAACAAACTGGAGCTTTACCTTGGAAATCATTCTGAAAACAGCTCTTTCTCACAATAGAGAAGGGTGGCATGAGTATATATAGTCAACAACAATACTACATCACTTGATACCAACAGTATTACCTCTCCCAATTCAATTTATTATTTAATCACTTAAAAATTTTGCAAGGCAGCTTAATATTAAACTACAAAAGGAAGGCAGAAGCCATATGTTCTACATTATTTCACTGAACAATTTCTACTATGGAGAACCCTCAACCTACAGATCTCCCCTGTATGCAAACTGTTGAGTTTTTTTAAAGCAGAGTGCAACCTCAAAAGAAAACCACACAGCCTTACAGCAGTTTTCTATTTCACTATTGCTGCAGTTGGTGAACACACACCATGGCCCGGCCCACTAAGCCCTTCTCACACACTGGTTAACAGAAAAAAATGTTGAAAAGAACTCTCATGCAATCTGTATCAAACTGACAACTGAGAAAGACAGCACATTAATTTTTAAAATAATGTTTTCCTTTAGAACTTCTCCTCTTTATAAATTCCATGTACATTCTAAACATAACGCTGCCTAAAAATCTGAAGATAACACTCCAAGTTAGAAACGTAAATGCTTATCTGAAGCCAGTCCAATCCAAATTATGCAGCGCCAGCCACAAAATCTGTGCATCAGATTTTTAAATATGGGTAGAAACACTAAGTAAAAGGTCCTGATTTAACATTTTGTAAGAGAAAACATTAATGGTACATATCCCTATATACAAATAAATAATACTTACAGCATTATTCCAACATATTTATCGTTATCCTAGGAAATCTCTTCACTGTTGCTGTTCTAGTCCCAAA